ACTTTCCCACCTCCAGTCTTCCAGATACAGTGACGACACTTGACCCAGGTGGGAGAAGAAAAGAGAGTGCAGTAGAGGTAACGCAAGTCTACTTGCACTATAATCTCCCTAATGCGCAATTCATCCTCTTTGCACGTGGTGCATATATTCGAAACCGACGGTTGAACTGTTGATAATTCCTGTTTCACAAAGGACAGGCATGCTTGTCGCCTTTGCCGTCTCGCTATCTTTATCTCTCATAATCCACTACAAAATAATGTTTATTACTGTTTATAATGGTGCTATATTGCCTTGTCCGAATACTATGCATCGGAATTTCCACCAAAATCAGGTCATTTTTGTTTCTTGTAGTTGCCCGAAGATAATGTCCTTGAGGATGGAACCCTCATCGACCTTTCCGGTGCTATCCTCCTCTGGCGTTCTGGAGATTCGCTCAGCAAGAATCTGACCCTTGAAGAACTCGCCTACATGGTCAGTTATTTGTAGTTACCTGTTTTATTTTGTTTTCCTGCCGCAAACCCTTTTATCAACAGCCTAGCAAACGAGTGCATTCCTTCCCTCGTCTCCTTTAACTACCGTTTTTGCACCCCAGAGGGTGTCGTCCGGCAAGCTTGATAATCTTCGTGAAAGTCATTCCCCATCTTCAGAATACTGTCATAACTAAGAGGATGACAACATATATGAACTGTTAACGACGGTGACATAGGAGTCCTTGATGCTGGGTTTCACCTGGTTTCCGAAAAGAACCCAATCTACTATCAAGTATGGAATATACCGCTCTTGTAGTCTTCTCCGGCGTAGAATGACATTCGTTTCATGCCGTCTATATATTTTGTCTTGTCATCGAGAACTACGTCGATTTACTCTTTCGTAATTTGATAACGCAAAAAAACTATGGGTTCGTGTTCACTGCCCTGGAAGCCGTAATCCGTACCCCCCTCCGTCTCTATAGTTTAACTTTTAGCTGTAACTGTATGAAGCCAGCTCTCATGAAAGTGGGTAGTCTTGCTTGACAGCCAGACGCTGCTGTTGATCTATACTAGCTGAAAAACCCTGTGAAGTTTTGGTCGCAATTTGTGCCTGCTATTTTGTTGTACCTTCACTGACGCATGCATGTAAAAAAGAAGCTAGCACAACAGTTTACTAAATGACTGCTAGGGGTGCGGAAATTCCTTTCATCCAGCGCTAACACTGCCACTGCTAGCCCTAATGTGAGATCTGGTTGGTAGGTTAGGTCGATCTGCAAAAACCCAGCTGTCTTCTCTCACTTCATTTGCTTGTGACTTACACGAACCTCCCCTATTTGTGGTGTGCGTCGAAACGCATGGACCACTAACGGCAATTCTTCAGACAGGAGTTGTAGTACAAAGCACGTCGTCTATGCTCGCTACACTCCCATTGTCTCTGAAGGCGTCCTCTTGTACGAAACCAAAAACTCAGACAAAAACGAGTCCTGTTCCAGCGGTCACACCTTTGTCTTCTCGGCAATGAGAACATGAGGCTCGTATATTCGCTTCCGTTTAGGATAACAGGAATTGTTTACATAAATGTGCAAAATTGGTCAGCTGGGCAGACTGTACCAGACACGGCACTCGAATTCATCGCTGGTGACTTGTTAGTCAGCACCTGAGTCATTAATGGCCGTGATTTCATCACCATCATTATTTGAGTAGATCGGTTGAAACACCTACATTCATCATCATGTCTTGACGTAATGATGAGTCAGCCATTCGGCTGCCAGTCATTGGCGTGGCCGGTTGACAATGTCCTT